AACGGGCACGTGACCCGCGCTCCCCTCCCTGGCGCCCCCTGGCGGACACTCCTCGCCTCCCCAAATCTCGCGAGATTTCCCGCGCGGGGGGATGGGGGGATGTTTCTCCGCTGTCGTCGTCGCAGCGAGATCTCCGCAAATCTCGCGAGAAGACGCGCGGGGGGACCGGGCTGAGGCGGAAGCGCCGCTCTCCCGCCATTGTTGCCTCTCTTCGGCCTCTGCCGCTCCAACCGGAAGCGGGAAAGGGAGCGGGGGAGGGAACGAGCCCGGCCCCGCCATGGAGGCGAACGCGGCGAAGCGGAAGGAGCCGCGCAAGGCGCTGCGGGTTAAAGTCATCTCCATGGGCAACGCCGAGGTGGGCAAGGTAAGGCGCTGCTATTGGCTGGCGAGCGTTGAGCGACAAGTAGAAGGACCAATCAGCAGCGAGGGAGGGTGGGTGCTTTGCGCTGATTGGTGGGTTGGCTGCGCGCGGGAGCCAATAATAATGTTGTTTTGTGGGCGCGGCTAGGGGGGTGATTGACAGGTAAGTGGGCGGTGCCTCGGTGCAATGCGCTGTTCTGATTGGTCAGTGGGCAAGGGGGCGGGGCTTAGCGCTGTTTTGGGGCAGAGGCGCCGTTCCCAAATCCTGGAATTGTTGGGAATTCCCGGGAAATGCGGCTGGGGAGGGATTCCCGCGGGAATTCCCGCTTGTTTTCCGGCCAGAGCTGCATCATCAAGCGCTACTGCGAGAAAAGATTCGTGCCCAAGTACCTGGCGACCATCGGGATCGACTACGGGGTCACCAAGTGAGAGCCGGGAACGGTGGGAATGGGAATAATGGGAATAATGGGAATGATGGGAATGATGGGAATGATGGGAATAATGGGATTGGGAGTGGGGATGGGAATGGGAGTAGGATTTGGAATGGGAATAATTAGATTGGGATTGGGAATAATGGGAATAATGGGAATAGGGATGGGAATGGGGCTGAGAACGGGGATGGGAATGGGAATAACGGGAATAATAGGAATGGGAATGGGAATAACGGGAATAATAAGAATGGGAATGATGGGAATGGAATGAGAATGGGATGGAAACTGGAATGGGAATTGGGAATCATTCCCACCTGGAAAAGCTTTTCCGAGGGATCCCAGGCATTTAAAATCCGTGTGGGGAATTCCCAGCCCTCCGGGGTCTCCCAGGGGGATTTTTCCCAGCTCGGGAATTCCCGGAATTCCGGGATTTTCCAGGGTGCAGATCCGGGATCGGGAGATCAAGGTGAACATCTTCGACATGGCCGGGCACCCCTTCTTCTACGAGGTCAGAATTCCCAGAATTCCCCCACGGGAATCCTGCCCTTGGGATTTTCCTGATTTTTTTTTTTTTTTTTCCCCCTCAGGGATTCTCTGGGAATTCCTTCCCAAATTCCTCCCGAATTTGATGGGTTTGGGCGGGATTTTTTGGGGAATTTTTTTTTATTTTTATTTTTTTTTGGGATTTGATGTTTTCTTCGGGATTTTTTTGGGGGGATTTGGAGCTTTCTTTTTTGGGATTTGAGGGGGTTTTTTTTGGGATACCCTGGGATACCCCAGGAATTTCTTCCCAAATCCCATTTCCCCCTTTCCCAGCTCTGCCATTGGATCCATCCCCATCCCGACTCCTCTCCGGGAAG